AGTGATAAAAGCTTTTACGTTAGCCTTAACACGATCCAGAACTAGATTTATTTGGACTTCACCTAGTACGGGTACGGACGATCCACCATAACCCATTATAGTAGCAGAACTTGGAGCAGGCATTAAATTCAGTTCTCGAGCAACTTCTTCTTTAATAAGTACTGCACCACACCCTGTATCTACGTAAGCTCGTGCCGGAATGTCATTTATGGTACAATCGAAAAAGTATGCTTCATTGTGTGCTTGGCTTGCAGATTTTACTAATTGGTTCCTGATGGATTTTCTAAAACAGTCTTTTTCTAAATGTCCCAGTCGTTTGCATTTGGTGCATTCGATTTTTGGTTTGGGGCACAATGACGCAAAATGACCCATCTTTTTACAATTATAACATTTTTGTTCTCTATTATATTTCGCACTCTTAAAAGGCGGTTCATTTTGTCTCGGATTATCAGCACTTCTTTTCTTATTCCTGGAGTGATAAGTAAAATCATTGCTCGAACTGCTAGCTCCAGATCTTAATGATGAAAGATACTCAGCATACAATTTGTCTGGAGTATCATAACGACCAGCCCGTGCACCTACCTGCACTGTCGGATCCATAATTCCATCTATCAGACAAGAAACAGCGTTTTTGGGACTTATTTCACAGGCATTGATCAATTCTAACTTTCCAAAATAGTACTCTTCCCAGGATTCTGAAGATCGTTTAGTTCTATTTAACATTTTTCTTAAAATAATGGCATAGTCTTGGTGTTCTGGAAAGGATTTTAACAACAAAGCCTTCCATTCTTCCCAGTTTAATTCATAGGTTGCTAAGTTATCGTACCATTTCTTAGCGAGTCCTGCTAATCGACCTTGCATATGAAAAATTTTGATCTGATCATTCCAGCCATTTATTCTCCCTAGTTGCTCCACTTTTTCAATCCATTTGGAACAGCTAAGGTTAGGATTTCCAGGACTAAATTCGGGTATGCAGTCAGCTCTAACATATGTTTTGGTTTGAAATGGCGTATGGTTCGTATTATGCTCTATTAATTTTTCAACTAACATTTCCAAACGTTGAATGTTATCACGCGATGTAGATGGTTGTGGTGTAGAAACATGTTGCTGAAGATCTTTATCAGTACTTGTCACCACGTGCACAGATGATCTCAAGGGTGGAGTTTTACTGCCCTTACTTTTGTCTGACCGTTTATATCGTGCACCATCATCTGAACTATCCGTAGAATCGGTTGATCTTGCTCGTGAACGTGGCATTTTCTTAAAATTTACTATTTTCAGTTTTATACTTTAAACTGGCAAATTATATATCGTGAGTTAGTTTTATGCGTTAGCTAACCACTAATTATTTCTAAATGTATTTTAAAATTACGATCCGGCTTAGATTCTACGTTATCTGAGCTTTCTTTTTAAACTAATAACTTAATTTATACGTTAATCAAGCTTAGACGACGCTCAACTTTAGATTATACGTTATCTAAGTTTTATTTTTATAAACTAACAACTTAATTTCTACGTTAATCAAGCTCGGGCTACACCCTACTTACATAATTTGTCTTAAATGCACTTATATCCATAAACACTTATCACTAACTAAACTATAAACTAAACTATATCAAACGGAACAACAATAACACCAGCTTTCGTGAGTCTATCCCGCCGCTGCACTGTTAAAATGCAATTGAGAACCGGGTATTTTTAAATAATAAACTAAGAAATAAATACAAACGTTTTATTCGCAAGACGAAACTCAAAATAATAATCCTTTGTCCCAAAATCTTATCATAAAAACCCTCTCTGAATTTTGGTTGATTCATCACTTCGATAACTGGCCTGGTTGACTAATTGATTTTCTTCGAACGACCCGCATAGCCGTGCGATTTCATGTGACGCAGGGTACGAAATGTTAACAAAATGCTGTTTTTCTATTTTTTTTTGCGAAAATTTACTATAGAAACTAGTTTTTTTTGAGTGTTGACAAATTTTTGCAAAACTCGTACCTGAACTCGGCGAACAATTCATTCATGTTCCAAAAAATAAAAAAATTGAGGTTAGAAAAAAATGGTTATATTTTGAAAAAATCCGCACTTTTTTGTAAAGAATTAGTCTCTACCACATTCAAAATGGTTCTATTTTCTTTCTAAATGGCTTACTTTTTGTGACACTAAAGTGTTATGGACCCAAAAACACAATAACTACTTTTCAGGCTATACCCGATGAGATGTGAACATTTATTTTATTCATGAAGCAATTTGGATCAGGTTTGGAGCAAAACTGCTAGACCTAATTTCGAATTTACACTTATACTTGAAAAAATGGCCGAATCTAAATTTTACCGGAAATGCTAATGCGTTTAATTTTTTAAGGACTACCCTGTATATTTGATATTTTTTGGGAATAATAGGGTTGCTAAATTTTCTTTTTTACCCAAACAATTTTTTGTTTAATTTTTTTTGCGGCAGATGGCCATAAACTGGAAAATAATGTTCTAATCGCCTTAAAACCCGAAGCAAAAGCTATTTTGACGATAATTGATTTAAAAATAATACCTCCTTCAGACCAAAAAACAAATATCTAAACCGTGTCATTAGATAGCAAATTTTATTTCCAGTCTGACAGTATGCATCATCCAGCACTTAGAACAGTATTTTTCTACGAACTCTTACAAAAAGACATCTTTCGCCACAGGATACTTTCAGCGAAAACTTGATTTCCGTCACTAGTGAGAAAAAATCCCATAACGTTTACTTTCGTCTCTAGTGACGAAAGTAAGTTGTTACATATTTTCATATATCAGTCGCCTCGTATAATATTTTGGCAGCTTATAATTATTAATAATGAAATAAAAAGATGCTCATTAAATTCTATATGCGTTTTTACCTAAACTTTAATGAATTAAAGATAAAATAAAAATGTATAAAAATAGTGCAAATTAAACCAATCTACATCTAGTTTCCTGGTTTTCATTTGTTTATTTGAAGTTTTATCACTTTTGAGAACTGTCAGTTTCAGTTCGTCCTAAATTTAACACATTTTCATGATGTCTGAGTCAGAAAGCGATTGTACTCCCCCAGAAATTATTTTTAAAGCTGAAGAAACCTCTTCAGATTTATTACCGGCCAAATCAAAAAAGAGATATGAAGAAATTTATATCAAATTTTTGGACTGGAGAGAAAAAATAAAGTGAAATCATTTTCGGAAACTGTACTACTAGCATACTTTGGAGAAATATGTTCAAATTTTAAACCGTCGACGTTATGGTCCATTTATTCGATGCTAAGAACTACACTCTCTGTTAAAAATGATGTCGATATTAGTAAATATCCAAAGTTACGTTCGCTTTTGAAAAGAAAATCTGATGGTTTTAAAAGCCAAAAATCCAAAATTTTTTCGCCTGAAGACATAAAGACTTTCCTAAAGAATGCACCTGACTATAAATATTTAATAACAAAGGTAACGGAATTATTATTTTTATTTTAACAAATACTTAATACATAACTACTAATATTTGTAGGTAGCATTAGTTTTTGGATTATCTGGCGCTTGTCGTTGCCACGAACTAAAAGATTTAACAATAAGCGATGTAAAGGATACTGGAAGTATTCTGTTAGTTAAAATCCGTAATACAAAAACAAAAGTTCCGCGTTCTTTTCATATTTCTGGACCCTTTTATGATATTTCTAAAAAATATATGAACCTACGTCCCGCAAACATGGATCAAATTAATTCAAGATTCTTTATTAACTATCAGAATGGAAAGTGTAGCAGACAGGTTGTTGGAATTAATAAAATCAGTAAATTTCCTAACGAAATTGCTCAGTTTTTAACGCTTCCGAATCCTCAAGATTACACTGGGCACTGTTTCCGCAGAACATCCGCAACGCTATTAGTGGATGCAGGAGGTGACTTGCTTCTGGTAAAAAAGCACGGTGGTTGGAAATCTAGTAGTGTTGCGGCAGGATATGTTGATGAATCCACGAACAGTAAAAACCAAATACAAACCAAAATTTTACAATCTGTACAAAATAAGGAAACTACTAGTTCATCCGATTATGACGCATCATCATCTGAAATGACATTTAACAGTAGAACAAATATGTCGGCATCTACCTCAATAAATAAAAAGCTTGAGTGTGATACCCCCATAATTTTGAACAATTGTTCAAATATAACAATAAATCAATATTTAAATAATAAATAATATTTCTGAAATATTTAATTGTTGGTTAATTTTTTGTTATTCCTAACACAAAATAAAGCATTTGCTAACGTTTTTTTTTTTTTTTTTTTTTTTTTTTTTTTTTTTTTTTTTTTTTTTTTCATTTTAGTAGGTACCTACATGACATAATAGAGTATAAGTATAAAAAGTATAGTGTTTTACTCGCGTTATTTTCGTCACTCGTGAAACAATATACTATTTTTAATTCACGGCCTTCTACCTCAAAAAAATATTTATTAAAAAAAAAAATTGGAAAAAATTTAGCACTACTGTCAAATGTAATTGGAAGCGTATATTTAAAAAAAAAACAAACAAAATATAGGGTGATACATTTAAAAAAATCAATATTACTTACTGGCGTTTTCGGTAAAACCGAAAGTTGGCCATTTTCTTTAACTAAAGTGTCAATTTGAAATTGTCTAGTATGTTTTTCAAATTTGATCCAAATCGCTTAATAAATAAGAGAGTTATTAACGTGTCCAAGATTCATTATCACCCGTTATGATTCTACTGTTTTAATACATGTTGACAATTTACTATGTACCCAAAATCAACCATCTTATTTTACTGACTAATTAAATTGTTGTATGTATATGTTTTAAATTTTACAGCTACAAATTGGTCTACCTCTACCTGCTGGTACCTTTATTTCTAAATAACTCATTTTTAATGATGCTTTCATTCGTTATACCGCGATACATTTTGCTCATATCTTTCTTATTTGTAACTTTCGAAACATACTGTATATAGTTTGTAAGTTTAAATTGTTTTATGTTTCCAGGAACAGCCCATTTTAAATTTAGCTTTGTCATTAGTTCCATCACAATTATTTTTAGTTAATACAATTATTTTTTTAGAGCAATACACTTGCATTCAATGCGGTAGGTCTTACAACCGAAAATCTAACCTAAAAAGACATTTACGTGTCGAATGTGGAAGAGACCCTTTGGTAAAATGCCACATCTGCAACGCTAATTTTAAATATTTCCACGTTCTGAGACGCCATCTCAACTTCGTTCACGGTCTTCAATCCAAAGACGTCGAAGAAAATATGGTGGCCAATATATTGGGAAGAAGATCAGACGATGGAGAGTTTATAAGTTATCAGTAGAAATTAAAGTGTGTGAAGAATTTTAAAGTGTTTTATTTTTTATACATCACTCGTTATTTTTTTTAATCCAGGATGGCTATGAAAGTCAAACATTTGTATGGTAGTCAAAGTTATTTTTGTTCGCAAACAGTCTTATCAAGAACGTAGTCACGTCACTTTGTGTTTTTCCTGAAATATTTTAAACTTTTTTTGGTGAATCTTACATATGAGCATTACAATTTTTAACCAATCAAAAGATGGGTATGTTTAAGCTATGAGACAAGGCCGTCAAAAAGAAGAAGACGTAAGTCAAACATAGGAACCGTGCGTGAAACAGAAATGCAGCACTACAGCCGAAGTTAGCGCTCTCTAGTGTTTAATTTTAGAGTTAAATAGGACAAGAATTGCAGTGAACAATAGAACATATCTTTTAAATTGGAAAAAATGATTAAATATGGGGTTTCGGCCCGTAACAAACAATCATGTACATGGCCAGAGGTGGAAACTTATTTAAATATGGTCAAGTATACATGGTAATTGTGCGTAATTGTTTAATATTTCAATTTGTGTTATAGACACGCAAACAAGTTTCATAAGAAAGTTATATGGATTTGAAAAATAAAAATTTTACAAATATTTTTGGATATACAGGATGTTGCGTTTTTGCCTGGAAAATAAAAATATAACACCAGGTATTTTATTTCATTTTCAGAATGGTTTGGTAATACTATATTCAATCCTAGAATTTTTTTTAAAAACTATGCAGGGTTGCCAAGTAATTATTTTTTTATGAAACTAGAGAAGGATATAGACACACAATTAAATTATCATAATTTAGGTAGATTTACATTGATTTCAAAATTGTTTACTAGACAGACTTATAAGATACAAACCTTACGAATAGTGATCATAGAACTAACTCGTTTATTTTACACAGAGTGTTTTGAAACATGTCTTAAATATGGATAATTTTAAGTTCAATTTACTCAGTTTTTCAAATACAACCTGTGTATTATTTTGGCATAAAATTCCTTATGCATTTGCCAATCCAACATGTTTGCCAATAAAACATATAGAGGGTGTTCCATCAGTGAGTAATTGATCGATAGCTGTTTTATTACTGGAAATACAAAAGAAAAATAATAGAAAAGTTGTATGGCCATATTTATCAATTATTCTTAAATATACAGGGTGGTCCATAAACGAAGTGCTGACCAAATAAATACTTTTTTAAAACAAAACAACCTGCAGGTAGTTATACATATTTTATTGTTTTCACATCGTCAATTTTAATTGACTTCATTCATTTGCTATGTTGTAAAATTGTACAAAGGGTGCGTCTAAACGCGAAGTTACGATTTTCTCAATTTTTTAAATGGAATAGCCGGTATTAATTCATTGGTGGTATAACATACAGGGTATTTCATTAAAAAATCGTAAAGTCGCATTTTGACACACCGTATTTATAACATAACAAATGAATTAAGTCTATTAAAATTGTTTGATGTAGGATGTTTTGCTTTAGAAATGTATAGGTTGGTTATCCCTCGTTTATGGACCACCATGTATATTAAAGAATAATTATTGAGTATGCAATTGAGTATACAACTTTTATATTAAAAATTTCTTCATATTTCCAACAGTAGAATAGGATATGCATTTGATATTTTTTTTTGTAAATTGAACTTAAAATTAGTCATATTTAAGTCATGTTTCAAAACACTATGTATAAAATAAACCAGTTCTATCACCAATATTCGTTAGCTTAGTATCATAAAAGTAGGTATAATTAACGGTTTTGAAATAATTGCTAACCTACCTAAATTATGATAATTTAATTTCATTAAAAAATTAAAAACTTGGCAACCCTGTAGTGTTTTTTTTTTAAACTTAAGGATTAAATATAATATTACCAAACCATTCTAAAACTAAAATAAAATACTGGATGTTCTATTTAAAAAATATACATTTTTATTTGCCAGACAAAAACGCAATATTTTGTACATCCAAAAATATTTTTAAAATACATATTTTTTTAAATCCATTAACTTTTATCTAAAATTTGTTTGCGTCTCTATAACACAAATTGAAATATTAAACAATTACGCACTAATGGGACACCCTGTATAATATTGAAGGAAACGTATAAATAGCGAAGTGACGATAACTTTTAAAGTGTATCCAATGTTTACAATGTCAAAAGATCGGTATGTATGTAAAATTGAATTTAAAAGTATTACAGGTAAATTTAAAATTATGTAAATGAATAAGTATAATTGAATATTTAACACAATAATACATCAACTAATGGCAATCATATTTTATTCCAATACACGTCAATCATAACAAACTGTTCCTGAAAATACTACTGCATCTCTATCTGTAAAGTGGAGAGGGCGGGTTGCTCCACAGCACTTAGACCTCATAAGGCCCATTTTGTATCCTCCAGGCGCATATAGAATCTGCCTCTCAACTTGTCCAACTGGTTGTCGTTGAGAGGTGTCCACACATACTTTCTTTTACTATACGGAGAATGGTCGCACTGCACAGCTTTCTGAGTGCCTTTTAAAAGGAGATAGAAAACTCCGCCATTTTGATCCCTATTTACGTGTTGCCTACATCTTGGCGCAATATTTTTAATAGGTGCGTTTTAATCTTCTGCTTCGGAATTCTCGGTTTTCTTGTTTTAATCTGACAGGTTAAAACGACTAAACCAACAATTCCGGAAGCAGAAGCGGATGATTAAAACGCACCTGATATTTTGCTTGCTGCTGTCAGTGTCAGTGAATATTATTTTTGGAGTCACAGTTTATTGCTAAAGAATCAGTTAGCTCACTCGGACCAGTTGAAAGTTTCAAAATGACATATACTCCAGGGATACAAATTCAGGATACGCAGAAGACTGCTGTTTTATTATAGGCGGTTGTCATATATTGTATTATCCGAGTTGCGCAGTGTATAAACTGGAACATTGAGATCAAAAGTGCCGACGTGTGAGCGATCTGATTCTTTAGCTATAAACTGTGACATAGGAATCAAAATGGCCGCGTCCTATGTTGGGCGTGTCGGACCTCTCTCTTGCACCGTATAGTAAAGAAAATCAAAGCATGTGATTGTGAACAGATACTTTGAAAAGTATGTGATTGTGAAGTCTTATGAAGCGTGCTGTTGTCAGCCGTCGCTATGCTGAGATCGGCCAAAAAAAAAAACAGGCCCGATCTCAGGTTTAAATTTTATCTCAAAATTTGTATGTCCAATAATAAACAAATTTTATGCAAAAAATAAGTAATCGTCGAAATCTGAAATCTCACTCTCAGAACTGTCGCCAAAATTTACTTTATAATGAGTTCATCAACGTTGTCGTGGAGATTATCAGCGGCCAACATTTCTTTTTCCGCTTTTTTCTGACATGTGCAACGCAATTAGGCCAATTTTGTTCAGTGACATGTTCAAATGCTTCATCTATTAATAAACGAACATCCTGTGTCAAAATTGTTTTTAGTAATATAGCGCTTTATTTGATTCCATACCATATCGATCGAGTTAAGCTCGCAGTGATACGGTGCATAAAACAGTTACCCCTTATTTTGCAACTATTTCCTTAATCTTGTATTTGTCGAATTGCTTGGTATAAACGACTGGTATTCCATCTTATTACTGCTTCAGCTATAGTGAATGCTCATTATTTGTATAAAAAAGTTAGTGGTAAAAGGACGCAACTTACCAAATTCAAAGAACTTCTTATATCTGCAAAAACAATTATAGATTCATCACCGACAATTTTAACTCCCCAAAAATCTACTGTACATATCTTGAAAGAAGTTGAAGGCCAGAAAAGGCAAACAAGAAAACGATGCCGTCTTTGCTACAAACAAATGTCCATTTCCAAAGGATCTACTTATGCTCGTAAGAATGCCAAAAAAATTAATACAATTTGTGAAAAATGCAAAATACCAATTTGTATCGACTGTTTTCAAAAATATCACAAAAATGTTGCATTAAAGACTTACTAAATAAGTTGTAGCACAAATATTGAATATAATATATATTAAAAGTTGTGTTCTAAATGATTTTTTATTTTTATTTTACCTTGAAAATCTTAAAAACTCGTTAATTTTGTTTAATTTAAAAAAAATCGTTTTAAAATTAGGCTATATCAAATTAAGTCCGCTATATGCAGTATCTCTTCGAGGGACCAGCGAATGAACTACTGTACATAAATTGAATTTAAATCATGCAAGCGGTCCTCAGGTAAAACATGTCGTGTGCCCACCCGTGAGCACGCGCGCCGGTAATGTTGTTGCGAAGTGACCCACCGTTGGGCATGCGGTCTTTAACGTGTTAAACTCTATGTTGCAGGTAAAAAATCACAACTAAACCAACCGCAAGAAAAAGTTATTGCGTAATTAAATGTGAAAGTTTTGACAATTATAAAAAAATCATGGGCTTTAAATATGCGTATTCATAATGAATTCTTAGGCTAGTGCCACAGTTTATAGCTAAATAATCAGTTAGCCCACTCGAACCAATTGGATGTTCCAAAATAACATCCACTCTAGGGATACAAATTCAAGATGCACAGAAGACTGCTGTTTGAATATAGGCGGTTATCATACTGTATTGGTTTTAGTAAGAGCCCACTGCAGTGGGCTCTTGGGCTATTATTATTTGGTTCTGTATGCGACAGGGATTCAAATCCGAGTTGCGCAATGTATCAACTGGAACATTGAGATCAAAAGTGCCGAGGCAGAGTGAGCGAACTGATTCTTTAGCTATAAACTGTACTAGCGCCACATTAGGCAGATCTTTTCGTAGTAAATTCAAATCCTAGGTGTTTCAACCGATCTATAGCTCAGTGTAGCGATTTAACGAATTGCTCGTAAGAGATTATAGGATTTGTTTGCAGCAGACGTTCTGATGTGAAGATCGGCGGCTGACCGTCTACCTAATGTGGTACTAGCCTTACAAATTAAAAAAAAAGATATTTCACTTGGATTTTTTGGTTTTTACAGGTCGGTTCCTTTCTGTAAAATAAAGTTTAGTACTGTTTAGTTAAAAATACTTTATTGTTAAAAGAAGTAGGTAAAAACTAAGTATTGTCTGTTTAATTTATACTATCATTATAGTTTTTAGTTTAAAATCAAGCGCTCTGCTGAATTATTCATCCACATTGTCGTCGATGTCTGTGCCGGTTATATATTCATAAAATTTCATGCAATCGTTCGGAATTAAGTGCATCACTGATTTTTTGCCATCTATCTTTGGATTTTATACTTTTTTTCCTTCTAGTCATAGTGTTATTAGTAAGTCTTTAAATAATGCCGGACGACCCATTTGTTTTTGTGATATCTATTTCAGCATACGTGTTATCTTCAAAATTGGTTATTTAGAAAAAATATTAATAGATTTTTTTATCAAGAAGTATCTTACGTGTTTATCTTAATACACGATTTACCTGAACAAAGCTTGGGCTTTCCTTCTCATATCCAATAGCAATATGCTAATATTATTCATATTGTATCACAAAAATAATTGTTCTCCTTTTTTTAATACTTTACACTCACTCTCACAGATAACTAAATAACGTACTGTCACCAACTATCTTCTCTATTATGCAGAAAGCAACCAAGCCGCTTGGATTGCTGCTGCTGGCACAAATTTGTGGGTTGCTTCCTTTCTGCAGAAAGCCGTCCAATTAAACATCAAGAAGGACAAACGGTCCTCATATATGCAACCAAGAGTACATGTTCTATTAACATTGACTATCCTGTTGCAGCTGTTAGAAACATAGCAACACAGTGTGCTGGTCTGCCATTAGAAATGCATTGCCTATTCCTGGCCATAATGCCCGAAATGTAGAGTCATCTTCACGGCTCATCAAAATCCTGCAGGTTACCAACTCGTCGTAAACCTGCTGGTTGACGCTGAGGAGTTCTGCAGACAGCCATCTTCTCAGCTCGTCAAAGTCCTACAAGTTATTAACTAATTAAAATCCTTTTGGTTGCCGCTGTAGAGTTTCTAGGAATAGCCAGCTTCTCAGGTCAAACAGTCCTGCAGGTTAATAATGTCACTGAATGGAGTCTCTAGATGCCACATTTTTGGAACTGTTGTGTAGACGTCATCTAGTATACGTTGGTAAAACTAGAGTATAGCTATATGCCATATGGTTTGGTCGTAAGATATTTTGTTTATTCTCAACAACACACTTTAATGACAGTTTAATAATGCTTGTAATATTCAGCAAAAAGTTTTTCCAATACCATTGCATGTCACTGTTATCCTTAGTAGGTTTTCCGTTAGGAATAAGTAATTATTGGGCATGTGCAACTCTTGCCATACAACTGAAAATTTAGAGAATGTATTTACGTTACAGTAGTAGAAATGTTATCAATACATTGTGTCCTAAAGGATCTATTGTGACCCCTTCTGTCGCTAATGCAACAAGGAAATATCTCGATGCCTATAACAACCCTTCCAAACCTATCTTCTCAAGGAAGTGTAGGATTTGGAGTGGCTTCAAGTTAGGCAAATCTCCCTTTTCTATTTAATAGTGTCCTTGGATTCTGGAGTGCTACATATTCAGTCATACTGTAAATGAAGGTTCCGGCCTTAGGGGTCCTTTGAGTCGGAAATGTCCGGTAAGGAACCGTGTTACAAAGCGTAGCCTGTTCTTGCTCAGTCAGATACAAGCTTCCGATCTTTTCTGCTTATATAATTAGTTAGGTCTGATTTCAATATTTCTTACGACAGAAGGTGGAACACGTGTATTGATGTTTTGACAATGGAATGCAGTGGTTAATTTCTTCTTTGTTTCGTTCAAAGCTCAAACTGTTATTATTATAGTGGCAAAGAGATCTATTGAGAGAATCAGATTCAAAGAGTAATACATCAAAAACTAAGGCAGATGGAAGAAGATTTACTTACCAGTGAGATAATTTTTGTAGTAATTAAAATTTTTCTAGACTTTACTAGATAAGGCTGCTTTAAAATTAGGCAGCCTGTATTTTAAATGAAACTGAACGACATTTGGATTGACAAGTAGGTACCATATTAAATTTTTGTTCCATGCGTAAATAATAAATTAGTTTTGATCGATTATAATGAAAACCAAAAGAAAAATCAAATTAGAAAAATTAAAAAATCCGATATACCTGATAGCAGTCGAACCGGCGGTATATGGCATACCGAGCCAATGTCTTAACCTCTAATAAATAAAAAAAAAACTAAATTGCAAACTATAGTCAGTTACCCTGTAACCTATAAAATTGGAAAATATGACTTGGGTAAGGTATTTTATTTTCTCAGGCTTTGAGTCGCTCAACATTCTGAGATATTAAAAAGTGGACAAAATTTGAACCTAAAACATTTATCCTTCCTTAACACTAGAATTTTAACCAAGCCTGCGTAGTTAGAGCATGGAACGTGTATTCAAATACTAACTAACCCTTAACAACACACTTTAACCACCCAAACCTACTCTAACTCAATTTCCAGGTATACCGAAAAACTGGCGAATCCTCAAATCCGCTCTGCTGCAACCTAAATACTCTCCGAGCAAGGAAGAGAACCACCTCCAAGCGCACCAAGTGGGTTCGGGCTTCGTTTGCGGTAACTGCGGAAGAACCTACAAGCTTAAGAGCTCCTTGAGGAACCACAGGAAGTGGGAGTGCGGTAAAGACCCGCAATTCTCCTGTCCGTTCTGCGAATACAAAGCGAAGCAAAAGATGCATATCAATAGGCACATCGATAGGATGCACAAGAAGGAAATATCGACCGTTGCTTACGATGACATAGAAAATGAAAAGTCGATGGATAAAGGGTGGATGAATATGAGTGGAGGGAGTATAATCGGCGATGGTTCTTTTGAGAAAAACGGGGATGTTTTAAAGGAGAAGGTTATGGATAAATAGGAACTCAAAATGCTGCTACATTTGAAGTATTATATGTGTAATAGATTACCAAGAGTGATTCAATTATACAGAATGGCACATCCTATACGCATCTGTCTCTGTAGAGAAAACGGCTTATAACTTTTATTAACAGAGATATACAAGACCATTAACACTACAAACTAAAACCAATTTGAATTATACAGGGTGATCCAATTTATATCAAAGCTAGTTTTAATGGTATTTTTTGATTCCACGGAACAAATAAAGTAAAATTTTTGTATTGTTTCTTATACCTATCTCTTTTCGTTTTTGAAATTTTCAAAGGTTTCTTAAACATAACCTAGTATGGCGTGGTTATTAAAAACATTAAACATCACCTGCGATATGCATATTTATAAAATTAGACTTTCGAATAAAATGCAAATTTATCCATTACATCATACAGGGTGATTATTTAGTCTAATTGTATACTACTTACATATATGGAGTTAAATATTATTTAAAATAACACGCCCTGTAGTTAATGATTTAAACTGATATACATATAAATTATCTTTCATTCCACATGTATAAGATTTTTCTTATGCCTAAATTCAACGGTTGTTTAGCCAATAGTTGTTTTTTTTATTTTTAACATACCGATTTCTTAATATTTTCTAATCATAGTAACCAGAGAGCAAATATCACTCAAAATACAGTTTTGAATGAAATAATAGCTATTTATGTAACCAGTTACGGAATGCCTTATTTTGTGTAAAGAGTAACACAAAACGGCATTTCGTATCGTACATACAAGATTTCATTCTTTTGTAGTTATTTCCAATCAAATATTTCAGAAAATTGTTGTATTTGATTTTTTTTTTTTCAATAGTAATAATAATAAGTGTTGTTGACATTACTCGCGGGAAATTTAAAAAAAGATTTTACCCGTTATCGTTAAAGAAGCGCGTCAAAATTTTACCCTCAACATTTCTGGGCAGTTTTCAATAACGGTGTTATTATTTAAAAAATAAAACGTAATTTACAGCTTTAATTTTTTTGTTGGTAAACGTAATGTCAATTTGTCAAATATGGCTTTTTTCTCGATTTTGGGCATTTTCGATTTTTTCAATTTTTTCCCTTTTTTCAATTTTTTCAATTTTTTCAATTTTTTCAATTTTTTCAATTTTTTCAATTTTTTCAATTTTTTCAATTTTTTCGATTATTTCAATTTTTTGATTTTTTCAATTTTTTCGATTTTTTTAAATTTTTTTGATTTTTTAAATTTTTTTGTTTTTTTTTTCGATTTTTTTTAATATTTTTTCAATTTTTTCGATTTTTTTTCGGTTTTTTTAATATTTTTAAATTTTTTCGATTTTTTCGATTTTTCAATTTTTTTTTTTCGATTTTTTCGTTTTTTTTATTTTTAAAATTTTTCCGATTTTTTCGATTTTTTTACATTTTTTCGATTGTTTCGATTTTTCGATTTTTTCGATTTTTCGTTTTTTCGGTTTTTTTGATTTAAAAACCAAAAAGGCCTTTCTATTTATTTTCATTTCGTAACTGGTGACATAATCAACTTTTCCTAATCAGTTATATGTTTTGACACTTGCTGCGATTACAAAATATATTATATTTCAAAATTAGAAAAATATTTTATCACTTTCTAATGTTAAGTAAAACTAACAATATACAGGGTGATTCATAACTATTGGGTCATTGGCTAAGAGCAGGTTATTTGAACCAAAATATAGCGATTAGTAAAATATTGCTGTGGAATAAGTTAAAGTTGATTTTTTTTTTCGTTTTTTTCTGAAAATGTCACTGTATATTTAGGAATTATTATCAAAATCAGCACAGAGGCATATCTTTGGACAAAAAGTATTATTTTATGTATTATTTCACATTTTGTTACAGAGGGCAACAAGTGAATGATTCCTGATGATAAAATTAAATTTTGACGAAACTTTTTAGTGTTTTGGATTAGAAAAGAAATATTATTTTATTTATGAAAAGTGTGGTTTGCAATGTCAGATAATTGTGTCTAGTACATAGTATGTAATTTCTTGTCATTAAATTATTTTTGCCGTGAAATTATAGTTTTCTATTATTATTATTATTATTATTATTATTATTATTTAACGCCCTGTATCTTATTACACAGCAATATATTATTAAGGTATATTTGGCCCTATCGCCATATTTTAGTCCAAATAACCTGCCCTTAACCTATTTCCCAATAGTTACGAATCACCCTGTATATATAAAAAAAACATTTAATGACAAGAAAATTTGAATTTGAAAACTACACACAAATAAAAAAAAAGAGTAAGAAACAAATAGAAAACTAACAAAAAATAAAGTGGCACCCATCTTGTTCTAAACATAATTGAACTCGTTTTTCAAAGGATCGTTTCACTTTGAGAAGAATTTCTTATTCTAGCTCTTCATATCTTCCGAAGTAGTCGATGGGGTGTTATAAATTATTCTTTTAATGTATCCCTATAAAAAAAATACGACATCAAGTCCGAAGAACTCTTCCGATCTATTTATTAACAAAACTCCGGTTTAAGTATCGTCGTACTTGAAGTTGAGAATGTGCAGGGCTCCATTCAACTGCAACCACATTTTCAGCGCAAACATTTTAGAATAAGGGTCAATAACATGTAAGTAATCCTATTATTCCTCTTTACACATCTAAGTACCACCTAGGTATAGTGAAAGTTATGCCGATTAACGAATCCATTATTTTGAAACGTGTACCCGTCCAAAAATCTGCACCTGATTCTACCTTATCCATAACCCATAAACAAAAATTGATTCTTTGTTGAAAGTCTTTTTGATGCAGTTCTTGGTGCAACTGAATCTTATGAGAATGAAATTTGTTTTTTTATTATTCTTCCAATACTTCTACTTAGTCTTGTTTTTCTACTAATAGCCCGATGACGTGTGTGTTGGGTTTCTATCAGTGAGCCAATAACTCAAAATTCATTTTCATGTTCTCCTACAATATATTGAAGCTTGACTATACATTTCCGCTAACTTTAAATTATTGTAGTAATCTTTCAAAAAGCACGTCTGTCATGTTTCTCTAGATCTGGGTATTTTTGACCGTAAACTCTAGAGGTTTTAAGAGTTTTCCTTACCAAGAGCAAGCAATTTTCTCTGCTTTACAATAAGTTGTCATGTGCCAATTCAAAATGTCAAACTCGTATTTAACATTTAAATTCAATGGTCACTTTGATTGGAAAGTGTATTTAAAGAGTCCAGTGCATAAACCGGTCAAGTCCATTTTTTTGCAATAATTAGTTAAAAATATGTTCTAGCACAGTTTTAAAATCTGAATCATTCTATTTATAAATGAGTTGTCTAGCTCGATTACTAAGACAACAGTGTCGTATAGTAGGTAGAGTCCGAAACACTTTATTGGTTTATCTACATTGATCTGACACTTTGGAAAGGCCATCAGTCAAGAAAAATAAAAACGCTTGTGTCTAGAATGACAGATTTACAAAAGACATTTCTATCTCTCCTGAACATTTTATCCAAATGGACTTGGCCGGTTTATGTTAAAAATAAAAAACAACTATTTACTATAGAACCGATTAGTGGTATAGGGAAATCTTATAAGAAATGAAAGATAATTTAAATGTCGGTTTTATAAATAAAAGGTGTGTCATTTAAAATAAGAATAATATTTAACTACATTTGTAAATTGAATTAAATTAGACTAAATAATCACCCTGTATGATGTAGTGGAAAAATTTGAATTTTATTAATGTGTTTTAAATACCCATTAATACTAGGTTATGTTGTTCATTTGTTCAAGCTTACAAATTAAGAATCCTTTGAAAAATTTCGAAAACAAAAAAAGAGATATGTATAGGACACACTAAAGAAACTTTTTTTTATTTTTTATGTGAAATCAAAAGACTCCATTAAACTCCATTTTTGATATACATTCATATTTTTGGATCACCCTGTATAATTCAAATTATTGTTAATGGCCCTATATCCTTGTTAGAAAAAATTAAATTAAAAGCCGTTTTCCTTCGAGAGACAGACGCATATAAGATGCGTCACCCTGTATGGAGATTTTTTTATTACAGTGCAATGGAAGATTTGTTAAAAAAAAATCGTAAAACCTATTTGATATCGCAACTATTTATTCTGCTCAAAACAGTTAAAGGAGTTAACTTTTCGATAAGTCTTAAAGGTATTTTTTGTTAAAACTTTTTTTGTTGTTAGAAATACATTGTGAAAATTCAACCATGTAATACTTGCAAGGTTAATTTTTTTGCTTGTACCTCTTCCCCTATTGAGTTTACGAATTTGATGGCATATTTGTGGAAATACCTCTAGTCACCAAACAAAAGAATGTACTTTGTTTAGTTACTAAGTGTAATTCTTATTTCTTATAATTTACATTAGCTTTGTTCGTGGAGCCTGTCGCCGACAAGTTCACGATACATGAGTATGCACATTTCGATTTCAGACGTTCGATTTTCGACCATTGGACCATCCAAAATCGAAATGCGCCTACTCATCTGTCGTAGACTAGTTGACGGCAGGCTCCGCAAAAAGCTAATATCTAACCAAAAATGACCTGGGACAAGTTCATTTGGTAGCTTTCTAATGACCACCGCATTTACTAAAGGTCCTCTAAGCAATAATGATGCATTTCTTGAGCTATGTTAAATATTAAAAAATCAATGTACAAAACGGATAAAAATTAACTATACTTAAATTTCGATGTCTTCCTACTTAAGGTAGAGAATTTTTTATTGGCAATCTTTTACGCATCTTGTTCATTCTAAAAATTTGTAGAACCCAGGTCCTACCGCAAGTATCACAAAAAATTATTTAACACAGGACCGCATTATTAAATATAGAGTATGTTTCGAAAAAGAAGACAGCAACGAGGGTGGATCAAAAAGTACCCGTGTTAGAAAGGAAGAGGCAAGTTTTTCAAAAAAATATATATTTATTTTTCAACGTAATCGCATTTTAGTGCTATACACTTTTCCCAACGTTTTTGC